CTTTTCCGCATCTCCTTGTGAAGAAAACGAGAGGGTTGAGATAAAACCATGTTGATAAACAGATCTGTGATAACAGTTTCTACTGCAGTTCTTATCTGTAGACCTTCCTTCATAATCTCTTTCACCACTAAATTCTTAAGTGTAGTAAATTGTTACGCACACTTGCTAATCTCGCTGTTACCTGTCTGTTATGTTGCAACAGAATTTTGCTTCTGTTTGTCTTCTGCACCTAAGTTGTTCTGCTACTTGACAGCTTGTGCCGAGGAGCTCATTCAAGCACTGGCTTTGATGCTTCAAATTTCAGCCATTCTGTGATTCAAACAGTGCTCTTCAGAGAACCAACAACATGCTTTATTTTGAAACAAATCTTAAACCAGTAATTCGACACAAAAGCAGACTGATATGACAACATGCAGTACCCCCCCACTTGAGAGTTTGAGTGTGTGCCTTCTCCCAAAAGAATGTTCTCATTCCTTGTTGTGTGCTCCAGCAGCTTATGTGGGCCTTCTTCGAATACCCATTAAGCTTCTCTGTTTAGTTAGTTTTAACTCACAAAAGCAGTGGAAAGCACTTCTAACAAAGCAACAAGGCCATCATCTGCCATGTTGGTCAGCTAGGTCATCTGAGGAGTGACAGAGCCTGCCTTAGAGAATAGATAGGACTATGGAAAGGTATGTGCAGGCGAAGGTGGTAGAATGGGAAAAAGTAACCAGATTGGCTCGGTTACTTCTCTGGAGACTCCTGACAAACTGCAGCTCTGAGCCTACCCAGCCAGCAGTGTTGGGGTTAAACTCTTTTCTCCTAAGTGAATTACTGTTAGCATCTACCAGTAAGTAGCACCCTGACTTTGGGTGATTGTGAAAACACCATATGTAAGTCTGACAACACACGATTTAGTGCCTGCATGCAACTGACTGATCATTTGGGTTCTCCCATGAATTTCATGAGCTTGTTTAAAACCAGCTCTGCTTACATAGGAAAGTTTGTTTTCAATAAGGTAGAGCAGGTACAATTGCACCTGAGATCTCTGCATCCTCTCAGTCATTTATTCATCAGGGGTGGGAAACATTTTCTACAATAGCCATTTCAGGTAGCAGAGAACGAACAAGCACAAAGCCTGCATTATAGCTGTTGCTTCTGTGTGGTAAGATAATTATAGGGGCTCTTGCACCTGGAAGCAGCTGGGCACTTGGAGTGTGTTTTGCCGCATTAGTGTGCTGTGAGTGGAGGAATCCCCTTACAAAATGATCCTGACAGAAGAAACACAAGATTCTTAAAGCTGTGTTTTTGTACGTGGCATACCTCCTTTTTGGTTGGAGCTGCTCCTGTTAAGCTGGTGTTACGTGCAGATTCAAATACCTTGGCTTGAATGAGGACACCAAGAAGTGTGTTTAATTGTCCATAACTAACGTGGTAAAGAATAGAGGAAAAGTTTTAATATCACTTGTTTTGTCTAAAGCTGGGTTGGAACTGTTCAGTCAGTCATTTCCTGCAGCGCTGGGAGGCCTGGCAGTGAGTTGGCTGGTTTGCCACATATTCATAAGCCCACAGAAGAGTATATGTTGCCAAGGGAGCTAGTGTGTATGAAAGTTTATTATTCATTTTTCCTTCCTTCATGCTCTTTCTTTAGTTCTGCTGTCACTTAGGCTGAATCCACTGCTGACTGCATAATACGGTAATTGTAAATCTCTGAGTTCATAATTTCCAGGAGGAGAGGCAAAAGAATTTAATCTTCTAAGATCGGTCACTTCAAACAAGAGTTTGTGAGATGGATGGGTCCTTTCCAAGCATCGGAAATATGGTTGTTTATACTAGCATAGATGTGTTTGGCCCACTCTTTTCCCAGAGCAGTCAGGTGTGGTTGGCAGAATGTGAAGGTCTTGGGTGATGTGACTTAATTTTTTTTAGGAAGATTTGCAAGAGTTGTTTAGTAGTGTCTTAAGCTGACAAAGGTTTTGGTGAGCTTAGGTAAAGTTAGTTGGAAGACATGTCGAGAGAATGCATACCTTTTCTGCGTGAGAGTTAGGCATAGTGGCTGGAAACGAGTGGATCCCCTTGGTTTGTAAGTTATTTTTGATTTATGGATGTTGCACTATGCCAAGTTACCTTGGTTTCAGATGTCTTGTGATACTGCATTGAGTTAAACTCAGATTGTTTTGTTTCAGATTTTGTTGTTGGGAAATAACTAGATGCTCCAATTAAGTAACCGTATCAGGGAAGAGCTGATGAAACTAAGCTGCTGCTTGTTCACAGTTGGAGAGCCGTTCTGTGTAAGGTACAAAGGTTCAGAGCAGTTAAAGCCAAGAGGTGCATGTGTAGACAAGTGCAGTTGTAAATTTTGGATGTTAAAAGCATACATTTAAAAAAACCAAACCCAAAATGACAAAGATACAGGCTGTACTAGGTGATGTTTGCATTAGAGTAATGTGAGTCTGCTGCAGATCATCTAGTACTTAATTTTTAATAAGTAGTATTGGTTGTATCCATGGGGAGTATTACAGCTCTACAAGATTCATGTAACAAATACAGCAGATTCACTTCTTGAAAGCCCCTGGGGTGTTTCTTCTCTAGTGGCTAATGAATCTTTTCTGAATGGTGTTCATTTCTTATCCTACTGCCTACTTGGAGTGGAGTGGGGAGTGAACAGAGCACTTAGGGAAGTCTATGCCACAAGTCAATGAGAGGAGACAGTAAGTCAAGCAAGAAGTCCCCTACATGCCTTTCACTGGCTATGCTATGAGCATAATTCCTATCCTCTCTTGTGACCTTTAGTTTGAATGAAGGTTTTCTTATTTTCTGACAGAAGAAGGCCAGAGGAGGATGAGAAATAGTGTAAGAGTAGCATATTAGACTGCAAACTGAAGTCTTGGATGGTCTGTCAGGGCAGCAGAAGTTTTGGACCCGCTATTCTGAGCTCTGGATATCCCAGATTTTTGATGTTTGACTTTGAGAGTGGGGAGGGGAAGTAATACATGGTAAAGTTTGAAGTGCAAATGCCAATGTAATGGCAAAAACTGTAGGAACAAGGTGTTTAGGTGTGATACAAGATGAATGGCATAATCTCCAGGTGCCAGGTATGTAAGTGAACCCTTTCCACAAAGCTTTTTGAGATTGGAATACAGTCTGACAGAGGGGAACTCTACCCTACTTCCAAGTGTATGCAGGTACCTATTTAAAGCTCTCCTCTAAAGAGACAATGAAGTATCACTTTTCAGGTTGTAACTTCTTCTTGTTCCTGAAATGGTCAGCTTCAGACTTAGTCACTATGGTTTCAAGTATCAACTCCTTGCTTCTTGTTCCCTTTCTTCTTAAAGTGAATTCCTTCAGCATTCAGATCCTTTAGCACTGTAATATTAATAGAGGTGCACCCTTGTGTTGGTTTTCCTATCTCCTCCCTCCTTGCAGTCTTCCCAACTTTGTGCCTTTAAGACAACTATTCATTAAATCAGTATTACTGTATTGCTGAGCTAATAAGCCTACTGTAGTAGGGAAGAAGTAGGCTGAGATAAAAACCCAGATGGTTCATTGTGAGTTGAAGCTAGCAAGCCTTTGATATACCTGAACTGATGCTCTGCGTTTGGTTTGGGTGTCTTTGCACTAAGCTTCCTAGTGTGTCTGAAATGCTTACCTGATCTTTTCTCTGTTATATCTGTAGCACCCTGTTGGCTAGGATGATGGGAAGTTGTCTATGCAGAGCTTCTGCTATTACACTCTTCCTGCTAGGAAGCTGCTCACAGTGAAAACAGTGACTCCCAAACATGTTGGGAGCTCTCAGATCTTACAAGGTCGTGAATAGGATATTGTTCCCCAACTTCAAAGATGTATTTTTTCTATGTCTGTTCTGTGATCATGTACTACTACCACATAAACATGCAAAGCATCAGGAAATCACTTTTTATTGTCAGTGACTATAACTATCTGGCAAGCCTACTATGTGCAGTATGAGTGTATGTGAGAAAGACATTAATATTAAGACACAAATTCTGATAGAAGAAATTAATTGTTTGCCATTGCATTAGTGTTGGTATTAAGTAAACTGCCCATTGGCTGGGAACAAGCTGTTTTTAAACATTTTACAAATGTCTTGGAATTGGGCAAAAAAGCCCCGCTTAATGAAACAGTTGGAAAAAATTGTGCAAGGTTAGTATGCTTGTTCATATGATGGGTTTTTGCCTGTGGTTTAAAAGATGTTAAGTTGCCTGAAACATTCATGTACTCACTGATACATAGTAACATTCAGTGAAACAGTTCGGTTAGAGTTGCCTTTTGCTGAGTGTAGTACTGACGCTGGAGAGGTTTGAAAAAATGGCTGTGTACCTGATCATTAAAGTCTGTTGCTGTCATAGAGAAAGAGGAGGAGGAAAAACGCAGTTCAGTGTTCCACCTACTTATTAAAGTATTAAAGTTGAAGTATAAAAGTTCTATGTTGAAGTGTTTCCATATTAGTATTGGAAAAGAGAGTTGCCTGAAAGAATTGCGGAGACATTGTTTCACTTTCTACCTTATTTTCAAGATCTTTCAGTCTTGAAGTCCGAGTAAGAGATTGCACTTTCATTTTGATATTTTGTCAAGGTTTTGTTTTTAGGAATGCATCAGAGAATTTTAAACTGCATTACAGCTTAGGCAGCATGTCTTTGTAAATCACTCCTGGCTGCTTTAATGATGAGTTAACTAGCCTCTGTTTTCTGACGGGATGTTTCTAACTTTCAAGGTGGAATACTTACACTTGCAGCTATTTTTCTTCAGCCTGGCTTTGATTTATACAAATGCTAATTATAGGGGCTTTGAATCTGTGTGTATACATAGTTTCACAAGGTCATACACATTTTTAATGAACTGGCTGTAATATTGCTTACGTATTGCTAGCTTGTTACGTTGACAGATCACTGTCTTCTAAACATTTCATTAATGAGTTCAAAAAGAGGAAAAAAAATAGCAGTACTTGTGTATAGCTGAGTTTTAGTTTTGTCTCCTAAATCTTACCTCCATTGTCTTTGCAGGCATCAGAAGGTGTCACCTTCATTGGACCTGACACACATGCCATTCAAGCTATGGGAGACAAGATTGAAAGCAAATTGTTAGCCAAGAATGCAAAGGTCAATACAATCCCTGGCTTTGATGGAGTAGTCAAGGTGAGAAATCATTTAATTACTGTCTGCCCACTGTAGGAACAGTGTTGAAATCGAAGTACACTATTGAAGGTCTGATGCAGAATGTAATTACAATTTCAACTTCTTTTTCAGTAAGATGTAATTAAAAATGGGGTACAGGTTTTTTACTAGCAAGAGAGTTTTGGAGAAGAAAAGAAAGTCCTTCATAATAAATGATGTATTAAGGACTGTTTCTGTGAAATCTCTAAAAATGTTTTGCTTTAAATTCAACATGAGGACAGGTAAATGTGTAAAGTATCAGCTGTGGCTTCGAGCAGCTGCACATCTCTACATTTCTCAGTTTGTATTGTTGATCAGGATTTTGACAGCCTAAATTAACAGTGAAGTTTGTTATATTGTATGAAGTTTCCATTTTATGGTCTGTGCTGATCATGTAGATTTCAGTGTGTTCCAAAACTTGGGGTGAGGGTGGGGAGAAGTTGGTGGCTCTTTGTTGAAATCTGCAGCTCGTGTTCTTCCTGAGGTTTTAGAAGGAATGATTTTCAATAGTTTTCCAAAGATATTTTGTTGTTTCTTCATATTTTTAAGGTGAAATAAAGTATGTCTTGTTTGTTTTTTTTTTCTGCTATAGTGGTTAAGGATTGGGCTCTTAAAAGCTTTGCCATGTGCCTTTATGTATTGTCTGTGTTAATGTAGGTAAATAAGCTTTTTTTCCTTTTCTTTTACCTTTGTTGTATGCACCTAAAACTGGTGTATTATAAACAGTTGACCTCCTGGATTGAAAATTTTTATGCTTGACACCTCAAGTTAGACTTTGTTTTAAAAATAAAATTTAAGTAAAACTTGGAGTTGCATGTTTGTTTCAACAGCACTTTAATGTAGTGAAAGGAAAGCTTTTCAGGTTTTATTTATGACAATTGATATTGACCTCTGGTTACATAAATCTTATTTACATGATGAAATAGGAAATTCAAGATAATTGGGAACAACTGAATATATTGATGGAATACAGACTGTATTTTAAGGAGTAACATACACCAGGGTGATGGTTTTCAGCATTGTGTCAGCTAAGTTGTATTTTAAACTCTGTTAGGAGGGAAGAAACCCCAAATCAAACTAAATGGGAAAGGCAAATAGAGTGCAAAGGGGCTAAGCCTCCATAGAATCATTTGTTCTGATGAGGATGCCTGGAGAACTTAGCTAGTAAGAGACAGAAAAACCAGAGACTCCATAGACATTGCCAATGTTGTTTCCAACAGAAACAGGAGATGAAAATACTAGGTTAACCAGTGCTTTGGTTTCCACTTCTAGGAAATAAAACTTCTATTAATTGGTATTCTCATCCTTGCTGTGGATCTAAATGTGTGCCTGTGTTTGTTCTCTGATCTCCTTCCTGTGATAATGTCTTTTGCTTGATGAATACCTAAGTAATTAAGTCATACAGGATGCCTGATCTTTGGTTAGAGCTTGATGTGCTATTTTGCCGATGCAGACTAAGATAGGAAGGCCAAAGCTGTATGATAGCAGGTACAATCAGAAGAGCAACACACAATGGGTTGAAGACTATGTAGGATTTCTGCCATTCTGTGGGAAACCTGTTTGGTCACAGAGCTATGAAGCTTTCAAAATCTGAGGGGTCTTTGTGTTGAGAAATGAAATTTTTCAAGGTCCTAGGAAGAAATTAAATGTCTGCTTGATATTTGAGTTGATTACAGGTGGCTTCATCTTTATAATGGAGTCTTAAAGCTGGAAGAAAACTGCATTCATGCCTCTGACAATGTCAGAAGTTAAGAAAGATCAGTTGCACATATTCTTTGTGGATGAATAGTTAAAGTGGGCATAGAGTAACAACTTCTAGTGCTTCATTATCCAACTCAGGGCTGCACTGAAAATCTTTGTTACTTGAAGAGTTGTCTTTATACAGCACTTCTTAAATAGTCCTAGAGACATATAGGTCCTTCATGAATAAAGGGTGTTTTAGCCCTGTTATTTGTATTGCTTAGTACTTACACATAGTAGACGCTGGAGTTGCTAAGCTTTTGTAATAACATATTGGAGAAGCTGCATGCAGGAAAATTCCCAGTGAGTAGAAATAAAATTAGAAATTTAAGAGAAGGAAGCCCTTGAACAGTACACTTAAGGACCTGAAAGGGTTGGAGAGGCCAGTGCTCGGCATAAGACACAACTAACTGTTCTCATATTGGAGAATACTAGCAAATATGAAAATGAGAATGGAAAGATATGGAGTGAGAGTGGAGAGGGTAGTTGGTTTGACGAAGAATCATTTTCTCTTCCTCCCTCGTTCAATTTGAGTTGACTGGGGTAAGAGTTGTTCCATCTGCACAGGCATGAAACCCGAGTGTGGTCCTGTCAGCTAGAGAGCCAACAAAAGCATTCAAATGTAGCCAATTTCAAAATCTGTAACTACAATTAGCTTCCTAAAACCTGATTGGTAGAGATAGTGGTGAATAGTCTTAATCAAAAGAATTGATGTTAATCCACATGAGCAAGGGCTATACTAAATTTATTGCTGAGAAGATGTAATGTCTGTAAATAAGTAAAGAGGAATGAGTGACAATATGAAAATGAAGGCTGAGTAATGAGTACAAGGAGATGTCGTGGTGAAAAACTGGCAAAGGAGTGGCAAGGGAAGAAAGATTTTTATGTTGTTTCGCCATGTATGGCCAGTTTGGTTTCATGACTGGTAGAACACAGCTGGATATAGATCCAGAAGATTAATGTCTCTGGGTGTCTATTTAATTTCAGTGATGTCAATAGACACATTGGGAGTTTTCAGCAAGGCTATGAATTTACTGTATTAAAGTTTTGGGTATCTGGCTGTGTTTTTGCGTTGGGGTATTGACGTTGATACTAAATGATCACTGCATTAGTGGAGAGGCTGTTGAAGTCTAGGCATGAACTGGAGGTTCTCTAAGCCCAATACCCTCAGCCATGAAAACTGTTATGTAGTTCTTTTATAATTAATACAATGTTTTACAGCTCCATGAGTCTCTTAAAAAGCTTTATTCTGGCATTCCTCTACATCAGAATAGGTTTGCTTTTTTGTCTCCACCTGCTGGTACCTGTCAGAGGGGCATGTACATGAATTAGGTTAGAAATGCTTATGCTAAATGAGTATTTTATGTCTTAATCAGCCGTTTATAAAAACACTATGACATCATTTTATAACTCTTATGATTTTTATAAACTTCTACCATTACTTGAGCATTTTTATTTGTACAATAAAAGGTGGTGCTAAAATTATATATTTCTTTACAATCTCCAGTTTATTTTGGGAAAATGGTAGTGTAGCTCATGTGTTTTTGGAGGAAACAGCAGTAAATAATTGATGACTTTTGCTTTTAAAAAAAAAAAATTAAAATGCTTTTAGTACCAGTGTGACTTTGTATATTTTGCACATACGGACTTGTGTGTTATGCAGTGTCACAGCATTCAGTTTTTTGCCCCCCTCCCCCATAGCAAATGTTCTTTGCACTATAAATCTAAAATAACTGTCTGAACTTTGTCCTCAAACTATTTATGTAATATGCACTGCAAGTAAAAGTCACGGTACAGAAACATACTTTCTTAGGGAAAAAGATCAAAAGACTTACCAGAGATTTCAGTGCCAATTGTTTATTCATTTTTTTTGTTTATTAGCTTTCCCTTTAAAGCAGGGCATATTTTTGTTTTGCATTTCAGAAATGCTCTTTGAAGGCTAAAGAATTTGTGTGCATTAATTTATTTTTTGTTTTTTAGAGTTTTGGGTTCTAATATCTTAGAACTGTAAAAACCAGATGTTGAAACAGTGTAAATTAATAACTAAACTGGGCAGATGACTTCGGTCTGTTCAAGCCAGAACTGAGACAATTAGTGCTGCTGATACGATGCTGCTTATTACTCGAAATTGTATGCGTGTATAAAAATACAGTGGCAGTGAAAAGTTCCCCGATAATGATTTGCAGCTTGTCTTCCTGTGGACTGCAGTGTCTCAGTTAGCCACTTGTTTGCAGGTAACTAAGTGAGAAAAAAAATTACCCTGTTTGCTTCCTGCCTCTTAATTCTATTTTGCAAATATATGAGTAAATTTGCAAAAGAAAAGAAATGTAAAAGTTTCCTTCTCGAGTATAATCGTGTCTCTTCATCAGTCATCACTCTTCCTGCATTTTGTTCAAGAGGCTCTAATTGTCTGCATTTGGCAGGTTTAACACTTCCTGACAGAGAGGCTATTAAGGGGAAGTATTCTCGCATAACTGTCACAGGCAGGAACAAAGAACCTTCAAACTCAATGTGTGGAAACCACTAACATTCTTAAATGACCCTTTTCATGCATTTTATCCTTTAAGCTAAAATTTGGAGAGTGCAGGGTCATGGAAAGCAGCAAGGTGTAATAAAACAGTAACCCCAGATTATTTTTTTCTTTTTTTTTTTTTGGGTGGAGGTTTTTTCCTAGATTTATCTCTTGACTTAAAAACAATTGTTATTTGGAAAAATCTCATTAACAGATGTGACTGGAGTAAAAAGACTTAAAACTGATGTTGATTTCAGGACTGCTTTGAACTTAACAAGCACCGATTTGTGGAGCAGACTAGCTAATGAAAGGAAATTAAATTTTCTGACAACTTCCCCTGCCAGCCCCCTTATTCTTCATGGGGCTGTTACTAGGTACTGAAGACTTTTAAAGAGGATTTTGTTTTATTATCGGACATAAATGAACCAGGTATGAACATTTCTTATGTATTTTTTTTTAATGTTCTGACCTGGGTGCTTTTAAAACAGATTGCCTTGAAAGCTTTAAAAATATCAGGTTTCAGTTTAATGTTCATAAGTCAGCCCCTATCGTTTCAGACACACTTAGCAGCTGGTGGTTTCCAGACATTGCTGCCTTCCATACAAATTTTTTAATACATGTCATGGAATAGTATAAATATTAACAAATTTGGATGGAAGCTTCAAACTTAACCTGCATCACTGTAATTAACCCTTTTTCTTCCTAGTATTGTATAGTGGAAATGCACTGTTATCAGTAGAAGAAGCCAGAATTAAAGAGAAGTGATTTGCCTATTAAAAAGTAAGCAGTTCAAGTACTTTGGATTTTATTCTCTGGGTTTCCTTCTACTTTTTTCTGTACCAGGCTGTAGTAGTATGAGTCAGCTGAAGCAAGAGGTGATACCAACCAAAGGATTTTTCTAATTCTCATATGCTAGTAATGTGTGGGCTCTTAAACAGAAACAATTATGTGAATCTTGTCATTTCGGATACAGCTTAAAATGATGCATTTAAGGTTTAGAATGAAAAACTTACAAAAGTGAAGTGCTTGTGTTCTCTCCTCAGTAGACAAAACCCATTCGTCTTTACAGAAGTTCTGCAAGGTTTTCTTTCGGGACCTGAATCACTCCCTAACAATAGAGAATCAACTCCCCCTACTGACAGCAAGCAGGAAAACACAAGAAATACCTGTGAGGACAGAAGCAAACTGGCAATGGACAAACTTTAACGATCTGATTTATGGTCCATTATTGATTGTAAACTTCTAAATTCTAGCATTAAATTCTTACAACTGCAGAAAATCATTTTGCTATCCTGGTTGTGTTTCCTGTCAGCTGATTCCTTGTTGCTTTGAGTTTCTCAGTATACTAATGATGAGGTAGAATTTACATTCCACTTATGGTATTAATTTTACATTCCTTTGGCTGAAAAGGGTCAGAAGGTTGTAAAATCAAACATTAAATGAATCAGAGGAGACAGTAGTGCAATATATGACTGCCCTCAGGACATAGTGCAATGGCTGATGGGATTAACGTTGGGTCTCATTTCCTGCTTTTACAGGATGCAGATGAAGCTGTCAGAATTGCAAGGGAAATTGGTAAGTTCTTAAATTAGCTATGGTGGGATTTGTGTGCCTCTCAGCAGACATGGTTGACTAAATTGAATGTGTAATAAGTAATCCCTATAGAACAAATAATGCTTTAATAGTTTTTAAGTTCCCTGTTGCCTATAGGGCTGGAAGAATCCAGGCATTAATGCCCTGTCTCTTAAATCATCACATTTTAACATTACAAACTGGACTTTACAGAACAAGTGCAGCTATGATTTTGTGGAATGTGTGTAATATGGACTAATTAGTAGCTTGCTAAAGGAGATACTTCAAAGTGTATCTGTAATTGGACATGATAGTTAGAAGTTAGGCACAGTGCATTTATCTTTATGTGGAAGCTGCCACCAGTGATGTTATGATCTTTATTCTTCATCACTGTGTGGACTGCAATTACTTGAATGTCATCCAGAGTACCAGCCTTTCTTCTGTGCTTTCTGGAATAAAGTCACTATTTGGCTTCTGAATATCTTATAGAATGGTTAAAAGAGCAACCAGCAAACTGTCTGGGACTCATTTTGATGAAGGTTAAGTGCTATATGTGTTTAATGAGTTTTGGCTTTTATTTACTAAAGCTTAGTATTGGGGAAAATACTAAACCATATGCTTGAAATTACACATTCTTCTAAAAGAAGAATCTAGTAAGAGACTTGTTTTTTTTTATTTTTATGTTTTTTTCTTTTTTTTTCCAGTTTTTATTTTAAGAGACAGTGGCCATGAGAAGCTGTTTAGGTTCATCACATGTACCTAATTGAAAGGATATATCTGCATTTGAAGCTTCTTTTACTGATCTAACTACAAATACATCTTGCCTGTGTCAAAAGCTATGGTTGAGCCTTGTGTGACAAATAGAAACTGGGACTTGCGTTGCTGCAGATCACTTTCCATCAGTGTAATATCTTTCCACTTTGAGTTTAAGTCTGGGTTTTTACCCTGTGTTGGTTAACTGCCCTGAAACCCCTCAGTGTAGCAGTGGCTTGGCTGACTTTTAGGTTAATACAGTTGAAATCAGTGTTTCTGTGGGTTACTCTTTATGTCCCTGTTGGGAAGTCACTTGGTTACTGATCACTGTCATGGGAGCAGAGACAAAAGGAAGAGGTTATCAATCAAACTGGAATATTTGAGGGAGAATAAAAATTGATTTAATCCTTAAAAAAAGGCATAGTGTAATGGCTCTATTTCAGTTGAGTTTCAATAGTCTTTCTTGATTTTGCTTTTTTTTGTTTTAAGACTTTCTGCAAATATTTTTAAAGCAGTATAGATTAATGTAAGTTGGAAGGCATTCAGTGGCTTCCTAGACACTGGTTCCTGCCTTTTCATATCAGTAGCACTTTGGAGGTCATTGTATTAAGGCAGTCTTAAATCTGTATAAATTAAAGTCAGTTACAGACAGCTAGGTGGTGCTTTATTTAGATGGTGAATTCTTAAACTGTTTTGATACAAAAAAGGCTTGTGCTATGATGCCATGTAATCAAAGGAAAATATACTTTCTAGCTTTTTCCCCACCCGTGTTTTGCCCAGTTGACCAGTCTCTTAAGCTTCTGTCTAATCATGAATGCTGATCAGAATAAACCCCAAGGATTTTTAATTTCAAAGGATCGAAAATAGGATGAAATTAAAGTCTCTTATGTGTAAGAGATGTACTCTTATGCTGTTAAGACTCATATATAAGGTGTTTGATATGCAATTGAATACTTTCAAATTACTTTTAAATTTCAGTTATCCTGAGCCTCAGTCTTACAAGAATTCTTAAGTAATTTTATATATAGATAAAAAATTACTGAATATACTATATTTTATACATACATATATATATATAAAAAATAAAATCATTGTGGGTCAGCCCTTAAAACTCTGAAATAGTGTAATACAATGTTCTCTTGCTTCCTGAATTTTTTCCTGCAGCTCCCAGCTATTTTCTGCCCAAAGATCCAGTAGTAGTGGAGCATGGCAGTTCAGGGTAGAGGCACTTCCTTTACCCGTTTCAGTGACTGTTACGGGTACATATTTTGTAAGTATGGAAGTTAAACCTGCCTCTTGCTCATCATCTGAGATGTGCTCTCCGAAGTTGTAAAGGGAAAATGGGGCAGAGATATTAGGCTAAACCAGGAATTGGAAGTTCAGGTGCAAATTTCTATATAGGCTCCTTTCTGTAGTCTCTTCTCTATTTGTCTGTGTGGCTGTTCTTCTCTTGTGATCCTTTCTATAGTGCTTAATCATATTGACTCTTTTTCCATGTTACTTTTAAGTCTGCTGGCTTCCTGATTTCTGAAGCATTGATGAAACTACAGAAAGTTTTACTTTTCAGTTTGAAAGGACTGAACAAAGCTCAGGCAGTTAAACTAAATGAAAGTCTGTACAAAACTCAGAGGTGATTAACATAGTTTTGTCATGTTTCACTTATGACATGGGTTTAGTTAATATTAGCTTTTCAGTGATGGATATTGAGAAGAATCTGGTATTTCCACAGCCTGTATTGCTCAAACTGGTAACGTGCAATGCATTTTGTGGTCTACTACCTGCAACTCTATAAAACCAGTTAAATGTCATCTAAAACCTTGGTGGCAGAGGGTGGGAACTAACAGCTGTGGGGCACCAAAAGTTTATTTACTCCTTTTACCATTCAGATTCTCAGAATAGGAACCACCCTGGAAACAAAGCAGTCCTAACGTAATAGTACCTATTTAACGTCAAAAGTATGCCTGCTGATCTTCAAATTTGACAGCTTTTTACTTTCTCACTTTTTAAGATCTATTTAGACCCATCCTTCACATGTGTCACAAGAATGTAAAGCTTGTGACAGAACAAGAGAGGTTTATAGTTCATATTCTTACACAAAATTTTAATTTAGTGTAAACTGACATCAAATTTAAGGGAAGAACTGAAAACCTAACACCTATTTAAAAATGTGCCTGCTTTGTGAGGCTCTTCATTGCTGTTGTTGTGAGTCCTTGTAAGTGCTGTTACAAATTGTTTGCATGCCCCTCCCTTTCCACAACTAATCCAGCCAATTTATGTGAGCGTACTTAAGCAATTTTGATTGCTGCTGAGTAATGCAAAAGTGGTTAAAAGAATGATGAGTAATGTATCCTGATTCCAGCATCCTGTACCCAGTGTGTACGCAAAACTTAGGTTCTACAAAGCTTTCCTTGTCTTAGTGTACATCAGGCTGTGGTATTGGCTGAAGAACTGCTGTTTAGCTTAGCTCAGTGCCCTAGAGAGCAAATACTATATAAAGGCATATTTGAGCAGAATTTCGAGTTTGCTTATCATCAGGGGACTGGTTAATAGTCATCCTAACTTGAAGTCTATTGTAAAGAATATACATACAGAAAGCTGTATAGATATTTTCAAAACAGGCCTCTGATTTTTTCAATATTTAATTTTTTAACTATATTGTGTCTCTGGAATCTTTGACTGCCTTGCATACAAGTGTGGTCAACATATTATCAATGTACATAAAATGTGTGTGTGTGGGAAGCAAAGTCATCCTACTCTTGGTGAGTGATACCAGTAACCCATGCATCCTATCTGGTAATTTAGCCATTTGAGTTGTGATATATAAACTTATATATTCTGTAGCATGTAGACTCACCAAGGCTCACTGCCAACATGCTTATTTTGCTGTTTAAGTGAAAGAACAGTAAATCAGAGCTAGACTCTGCTTACAGAATTAAAATCAGTGAGCCATTCAAGAGCCTGATATTGTTAGACTGAAATTGTTAGCATAATTGATGATTTTTTTCTTTCAAATACATGTAACACTCAATGAGATAGATTAGGTGATGGAAATTGCCATAGTGAGTTTGCCATAATAAGGCTTAAAACAATGCCTATTTCAGAATTTCAGACTTGTGGCCTCCTGAGTTTGAGAGAGTCTCCAGCTGGTGATAGCGTTGCCAGAGGTGTAGGTTCTCTAGTGTTATCCAGCTAAATCTTATGTCATGCATGAAAATCATGTAAGATGTGCTTTTTGGTTTGTTTCAGAATAGCCAGTGGCTTGCCTAGGAGTTTGGCAGTTGCCAGGGATCTGGAAAAGCAACTACATTGTAGATAAATTCTACTTGTGTATGTACTGCATACACTGTATTTCTTGAAAATGTGTTTAATGTCACTGTTGAATGCAGTCTAGAGTTATTTTGACCATGCCCTTTTATTCCTGGGATTTGTAGAGGCCTTGGAATTGATTAGTGTAGTTCTGGATCGAACCCATTGTTACTCTGTGACTTGTCCCATGCCCCTCTGTAGACAGCACCGGATATTCCATGGAGAGGTGTAAGAGAGACTGTAGCAAGCTTATTTGCATGGCTCTGTTTTGTCTTACACTTATGCCTAGTAACTAGAGGTTAAACTTTAAAGATTTACAGCCTTTTGGTCATCCTTGCCTGTAGGAACTTGATTTGTGCTGTACATGTGCGTATCTCTTACCTTTTACATCTTTCTGCCACATGAATGGTTGAATGGTCTGTAGCATGGTGTTTCACAGTCTAACAACATGTTATCTTGGAAATTATTTTACTGATTTTTACTTTTTTCCATTTTATTATTTTGCTGTTACTTTGTTAATTTAATGTTCTCTTGTACTATTGCTGCTTTCCTACCTTCCAGTCAGCATTACTGGTTTATTCTTATATCATGACTCTTTAAGCAAAAGATATTCCAGAACTTGGTGGTTTTAATTATCTTCTCCTGAACCTCTTTTCAGTTCACTGACCTTTCAGGGAGAGGAAGCGGTGACACTGTATCGCTGTCACTTGTCACTCTACAGAGCAAGAGTAGATCCACATTACAAAAAGAAACTGTAAACATATAATAGCAGACTTGACCATTTCTACTGGGAACCATATTAAAATGTCCCTTTCTGACCCCAGATCAAAGCTTTTTATAGAATATATTTTCAGTCTGTGAGGACTGATGGACTCTTCTTGCAAGATAATATCATCTGATCTTGGCTTAATATTATGATTTTCAAACAAACCAAAGCCTGGAAGAATTCTTTGTTACTCTAAAAAAACTTTCAGATCCTGAATTTTTAATTTTCTGTGCATCACTAATATGACTAAGATTGTTTTAAGAAGTTGCTTTGAATTAAAATACTGTACCATAAGGTAAACAATCATTACTGAATTGGCTTTTAAACTGCATACTTTGTTACTGTACTTTTCTAGCTTTCAGAAAACTAAGGTCCTGACTTTGACCATATTAAGGTCTCTTGTTGTGAGAGTAAAATATTGCCAGTTGTGTGCAATGCTGTCAGATTTATACTGCCAGCTTTTTCTTATGACTTGTCAGTACAGACACAATTTTTTTAATTGTTAAAAAATAAAAGTGTAAAAGTCTGTTTTCTGTGATACCATTACCTAATATCTAGCAGCAGAACTCTTGAGGTGCTGCTATTTAAAATGTATTTTACCAGAAATCTTGATAAAATACAGGTTTGCTTAGTGAATCTCTTGACTAATAGTTTATCATTTACAGTAATAATTTATTGACTAATGTTTTATGATGATCTTATTTTTGCTAATTATTTTTTGAAAAATTTCATCACAGCTATAGCTTATTTTGGCAGAAACAAAAGAACAAAATTTTGTTCCTGAAGAAATGCGAGTTTTAAAAGGTCAAATGCTTTTATTCATAAATCACTTTGTTACTTGGGAATAATTCATTTTGGTATAAATGAAATGGAGAAGACAACCTTTCCTGGCTTCAGGAATCACAGCACTGACAGCTAAGTCTTGAAAAGAAAAATTTCTCCTCTCCTTTGAAACAAAGTGTTTTAATAAGCAAAGTTATTGTCTACTGGCATTATTGGACATGTGGTCAGTTGTCATGTTCCTCTGACCAACTGAACAAAGTTTGAACTTCTGTCTACTTGTTCCCTGCTGTTAGGCTACCCTGTCATGATCAAGGCCTCAGCAGGTGGTGGTGGGAAAGGCATGAGAATCGCTTGGGATGATGAAGAGACCAGGTGAGATGCTGTCCAAAAGCTTGCCTTGATGAGTGCTGCAGTTACAGAAGTCCCATTAAGCCACTGTGAGCTGACAGTTGAGCCGATACAAAATGATAGAGAAATTGGGTGTTATTTGGTTTTTCCCCTTTCGTATAGTGAACAGTATACTTTGCATGTGTCTAAAGATAATTTTTGCATAAATCTTACAAAACACAGCCCATTAATTTGATTTAAAATCCCAGCATTCACAACTGCCTTTAATCAATGTAAACTGTAAGTTTAGATTGTAAATAACGTTTTGCTGTAGGCCTTTCAGAATGCTGATTTATTAATTGTTGCTGTGTTACATAGAATATTTATTGGCCCTGATTCTCCAACATTAATGCATGCTTTTAGTTCTGTTAAAGTTGATTATTTATGTGTAGAAACATGATGTTTTCAGAATACGTTCAAATAAACGCATACTTCTGTGTTTAAAATACTTGCCTTGGCAAACTATTGTGCTTTTGCCTGTTTGGAACAATGTTTGTTTAAACACCTCCATTTTCATGTCTTTTAATGGTTATCTGAATCTTGAACACTTCATGACACTTGTTATGACTTAAAGTTTTGCAATCCATTCTCTGCTGATACTCGGCAGTGAGAAGCCTGGTTTCAGCCGTATGTGCCACTGATGTTACAGAAAAATGTGTTTTGTTTTTTTTTTTTTTTCAAAGAATTGTAACAAAAAGCCTGTTTGATCCAAAATTAGGTAACCACCTAAATATTTTCTTTTCCACATGGAGAAAGCAGCACATATGCTGGAATCAACTCAAAGTGTAGCTCAGGTTTTCATTAGTTTAGTTACCTGCAAGATTTCCCATTCATGGTTTGTTGGTTTTGTTTTTTTTTTGTTGTTTTTTTTTTCTTTGAGTTTCCAGTTAAATTTTTGTCGAAACTTAAAAACTGGACAAAACCAGTGAATTGCTAGCAATTAAATTTTAGATTTAAAGAAAGCGTGGTGGGTTTTCTTGTACCTTGCTGCCTCTAGTTCATTTATATTCAAGTCTAAATGGGAAAATAAGGTTTTGTGCATTAGAATGAAGATTTAGAATAACCTTTCTTACAAGAATTCTTTTGTTTCCACTGCTTTAGAATCCAAAACTACTGCCTTGATCTTGTTCAGGCAGCAATTGTGGCTGTTGGACTTGAAAGGAAGGCATTCCTTTCTTATTTTGCTCAGAAAGGAGCAAAGGAGCTTGATTAAAGTAACTTCAAAAATTGAAAACTGGATCTGAAATTATGGTTGCTAATTTGTTTCGGAGAAAAGTTGTGGTTACTGTGTAGAAAGTCACCTGATGATGGAGCTGATTGGTAACAACAGAAACTAGCCAGGGATGCTCTTTTTTTGTACATTTGCATACAAAATTAATTTAGTGATATTACTTTGACCAAGTGATATTTAGTGATACTAGTTTGAGATGCTTGCCTTGCTTACTGAAAGCCTTTAAAGTACCATTCAGCTCATTATTTGCCTGTGGTGTCCTCCTAATAATTCTTTCAGATAGTTATGCAAGCCTTATCTTTGCAGTATAATTTTATAGAGTAATATCTAAAAGGTCCTAAGAGAAATAATACCTGGAGTCAAATTGACCCTAGTTACTGCTCCTACATAAGGAAATGCTGATTTTTCAAATTTACAGGTAGACAGCAATGAAGGCCAAATTACGTTGGCAAAATACTCGTTGCAGGAAGATAAAAGTGAGATTAAGAGAACTGAAGATATAAACAGATTTACTTTGCATGTACATATGAAGTACAGAATTTGGATTTCTCATACAGTCTGTCGTGAAATATGTATGAGCCTGTAAAAGATTTCTTGTAGTATCTATTAATTGTATTATGGAATTAAGATTGTTCCTTTTTGTGTCTGAAGAGCATAATGTTTTGAAGATGACTCACCTTGCTACTGACAAAACAATGTATCTGTAGTTTTAATATTGCATAAATAAGTTGTTGAACTCATGTATCGTCTTGCTGCATTCAAATCCATGTAATCCTAAAAATAAACTCATCTTCAGCTATTGGCAGACCCTGGAAAGCCATTATCTGAATAGCGTTTTGTATTTCAGCAGTCATAGATGGAAGATGAGTGTGAAGAATATTTTCATTTGTAAACTTCTTGGCTTTGTCATGTGAGATTAATTCCAAATGCTATTTGAAACAAAATTAGTATAACCTAATTTTGAAACATACTTTTGGCTATGTATAATATTAAAGGAAGGCATAGATGTATTGTTGTGTGACATGGAGAAAAATCACTGGAAATAGGAAAGACCTGTCTGAATGACTTAATTGCTACTGTTAAAGCATTATTCACTGTGGTAATTCACTAGTGCTTCATCTTTCACATCTCTTAAGTATACCTAGTGATGAAAATTGTTAGGTCCTCTAAATATTATGGTATTCCAGCTGCAGCTAAGACTTCTGTACCTTTCAGCTACTGTTTCTAACTAGGAATACTGGAATAGTTTTACCACTGTTACAATGACTTTTTAAATAGCCCATCACGTGCATGCAGCTGTGGAGGTCTGTCATGTTGCCCTCTACCTCTTTCTCTGGAGTCTGAATTTCCTCAGATATGAATCCCTTCTGTTGCATTTTTCCAAATTTCAGTCAAGTTCTAGTGTGGAATTTTGTGTACAGTTCAAACCACTAGTACATGTCTGATATTAAAATAACCCTATTTTCACTCTAATGTAATAATAAATAGTATTTATCCAAACCAACCCTCTTTCTTCACATAATATACCCACTTACAAGTATATTGAAAATGAAGTGCAGATTTCTGAAGAACAGTTTACATTGAATTCAGGTTTGTACATTCTTCACGGCGTGAGAAAGTTCTGCAGCTATATGTATCTAAAAGTACTTCTGTCTTAGTGTAGCTGCTCATTTCAGCTCTGGTCCTGTATATGAAGAGCCTCTGTGCTTGCATCCCAGACAGCCTGATCTGAAAGTGCTTTCCAAGTACAGGCAACATGAAGCTCATTACGAAGTACAACAAAATGTGACTAGTGTAGGTACCTGAATACCTAGAAACTTTTCTGTATGATCCCTTCTTTGATTGTGGAGAAACTGAAGGCTTTCTTGCTTTCAGTAAGCTTGTAACAGTTGTAGTTGTAACTAAGTTTGTAGGCTTTATGGCTTCAAATGGTCTGCTGGCAGCTCTGAAGAGGAATTTGCTTGAGGACCCTATCCTCTCCAAAGGACAGATTTAAATTATCTGGCAGAGGTTGTGATGGATCTTTGCACACAAAGATACTTACTGGCGCGTAGGTTCAGTATCAGAGGTCATCATACAGAAACTACTGGACTTTGTCTTAAATTGTGGATTTGCAGATAGAAATTAGTTTCTCTAGTCATTTCAGTGGCAAACATGATAACCTCTGAGTTGGAAATCTTCACTGAATTATCTTCTGACAATTCCCTTTTGAGAAATTTGGAGCTTTGTGCTAATCCCCTCCCCCCAGTTGTCATAACTTTTAAAACTTTTCCTAGATACTGAAATCTTGCATGCCTAGAGAGAGTATGTTTTGAAAGGTTTCAACAAGGCAGCTTCCTGCAACAGATATTTAGAGACATGAAAGATTTTGCCTTTTAACTTATAATAACAGGAAAATATAAATGGTCCTGTTACTTAAATTCTTTGTTGGTGCTTATGCCGATTTTATGAGCTTAAGTCAAACATCTGCTTCTAAATTCCAAGAGCCCCTTATAATTTCTCTTCTGTGGTCCTATGGTACCATGCTGTGTTTACTTCCACTGTTCCACAGTTGTTGCTCTTCACTGGGATGATACAACAGGATATGTGGGAGAACTACTACCAGATTTGTTTTTGTAATCTGCAGTCATTTTTTGCAGTTTCCCACCTTCCTTCAGAAACATCTGTTGAAGGTTTGTTTTTTTTGTTTTTTTTTCCTCTCCTGATGTTGTAGTCTTCCAATGGCTCTGAAGGAATGAGCAGGAATCCACCACCTCCTGAGGCAAAGGAAGTATGAAGAGTGCAGTATGAGAGGACAATGCTTTTAAAAAAACTGAACAGCATTCCCTATTACAAGTCTGTACATTAAGTTTTATTACCCTCCCAAAGCAGTGCACTTGTCCTGTGAGGCTGCTTTGCAAATATGGGAGTGTGTGGGTTTGGCATCCTTGGACTGCCCTGTAGAGGTATGTGAGGTAGTAGTCTTAAGGTCAGGAGAAACAGTCAGTTGGATCAGTGAAGAACAGGGTTTCCTAAGAACTGTATCTTTTTTAAACAGATTTCCGTGCTAGCAGCTGCATGTGTGAACAGATGGAAAATGCTGTGACTACATACTTGTATTTTTTTAAATTTAATCAGGCTGTAGCAGTGAATATTGTTTTTTATTTCTGTAAAATAAAATATCGTTTGTGTATTTGTTCGGTGCTTAACTTACCATTCATGGTTTTAGAGGGATTCCACTGTACTAATAGTTATCTAACATGGTTTTTAACTAGATGGTCTTTCCAACTCTGGCCTTGAAAAGAAAATACACAGAATCCCAGAATGGTTGAGGCTGGAAGGGACCACCGGCGGTCATCTAATCCAACTTCTCTCCTTACACAGAGTCAGGTAGAGCCACATTCCTTGGGATTGTGTCCAGATGGCTCTTGAACTTCTCCAGGGGTGGAAACTCTGCAGTCTCTCTGGGCAACCTATTCCAGTGCTAGGTCATTCTCACAGTAAAGAAGCTTAGGTGGACTATCTTGTGTTTTAGTTTATGCCTGTTGCATCTTGTTGTATTGCCTGGCACCACAGAGGAGAGGCTGGCCCCATCCTTTTGACACCCTCCCTTCAGATAGTTATGCATACTGATAAGATTCTCCCTAAGCCTTCTCTCCTCCAGGCTGAACAGGCCCAGCTCCCTCAGCCTTTCCTTATATTAGAAATTGAAATATTACATAATGACTGCAGTCGTTTGTTATTGTCTGTCTGCTTCCAAAGAAAAAGGTTGTTTTAATTAAAGCAGCAATGCTGATCTTGGAGCTAGACGCAGAAGGTTTACATGGGCTATTTCACTTCAGACAGCCACAAGAAAGCTTGTGCCAAGATCAGTAAATGCTTTTGTGGAACCTGTACTTCATTGTGGGGAAAAGAAGTACTGTAGAGAGACATGGGAGCCTTTAAAGGCATCCTGTTCTTACAGAATCATGCATGTTTGAAGGGACCTAGGGCCATCATCTCGTTCAGTTTCATCCTCTGAATAGGATCAATACTCAATTTGAAACTGGTTGCTTAGAGCTTTGCCCGGTTGGGTCTTGCATTCCATTTCCACAGCCTCTCTAAACAGCCTGCCCCATTTTTCAGTTCTTTACAGTCACTTTTTTTCCTTGCATACATTTAGAAACTCCTCACTTCAATTTATGGCCCCTATCTCATTTTTTCTCTGCTGTGCACTGCAGTAAAGAGTGTGGCTTTGTTGTCTTACAAAGCATCTCAAAGCACTGGAAGGTTGCTGTTAGATGTCATTGAGCCATGAGCTACCTATTAAAAAAAAAAAGAACCCAAAAAAACCCCAACCACTTCCCCTGAACTCTCCCACACCTCCCCCAATTACTAACAAACCAAAACCATACCTCTCCCAACCAACACATAGCCCCAAAAAATCCCCAAAGCTATACAAACACTTGAGGTCTCAGAGATACTGAGTTGCTTGAAGAAGTATTTGTCCATTTTGTCAGCTTGAGTAGGTGAGCTTTTAACAAATTTGCACTGCAGTATTATCCCTACTGGCCTCTTCCTTCCAGTTCTTACCCTGTATGCTCTTTCCCAAGAAGAGATCGTATATTTGATCTGCTGCTTCATAAAAAGGGGCAAACCTATCCTACTGCCTGTCTTAAAGATTGGGTAGCCGTTTATTGCAGTTGTGTGGCCATGTCAGCTATTCTAAGGATGTTGCAGTTCTGTGCCTGCATGCAGACTCCAGATCCTGTTTCTTTCTTTGGGTATATGCCTTTATGTGCAGCTACCTGAGGTGGGCCTCTTGATTTAGTCCCTGCCCCTCGATGCCTCCAGGCTTTATTAGTGTGCAGCTGTCACCAGCATGACCCACCCTGTCCCTGAGGAGGGGCAGTGGCATTCCCTGCCTGCCTTAGGCATGGACTGTGGTGGCCTTTCATCCAGCTGCTTCAAACCCAACTTAGGTCAAGTAATCTGATGTGCGATAGATACGAGTGCAGCCAGGGCTGTGGAGTCGCCACATGTACTGCATGATGGCATACATGCTTACTGACTCCATGGCAGTGTGTCTCAGGTGGCTGACCTGGGGCATGAGTCATCCTTGCTGCAGGCAGCTGTGGGACCCTTTTCATCATGAATCAGTCTGTTTAATATGGGAAACAGCTAGCAGAAGATCATAGAAACACCTAAAAGCAGCAAATCTGTAAATAAGAAAAAAAACAACAGCAAAACCTGCCACTAAAAGTTACTGAGAATCTATCAAAAAACTTAACAGAGAATCTTGACTGAATAAATAAATAACTTGCAACCAAAATGCCAATCTGCCTCCCCTCTCATGCTCTGCTGTCAAAACTACTTCTGCCACCAGACCCATCTTATGAGGAACTATCAAAAGTATCTCCTGCCAAAGCCCCTCTTAGCTGCTGCTGTTTGCTGTACTCCTTGCATACTGTTGTATACAGCTGTTCCTGTAGCGTAGGGTGCTCAGTAATGCCTAATGCACAGTCTGTCCTCCCTGCCCCTCGGTCTAGGCCACGTGGCTGGTACTGGAAGATGTAGAAGTGTTAGTAGAGAGATAGTCTTTGGAGCGTGGGTCTGTGCAGAGCCCAGTCTTGCAAATCTTCTGACCAGGGTGCCCTTTACCTCGAGTCATAGTGTAGAGTTATCAACAATGGTCTTCACGTAGGTGAGGTACATCAACCTGAATGTATCTTGTCAAACATCAGGGCTTGATAAGGCTGCAGACAGCGTAGTGTTTATAGGGTAAACTGTACCTGGGCCTAGGCAGGGGCAGTAAGCTCAGGCTTCCCTGACTCCAGTTCACCCACACTTCTCTTCTGGTGTTAGCTTGGTCAGGCACATATTAGTGTGGTTGTGCTGCGTGAGGAGCATCTTCCTTGCAGTGAGGCTCTGTAGGGCTATTGCTTGGTGAAAGGAAAATGCTTCAAATACAAATTCTCTTCTAGCTTAAAAGCCTAAACAAGCCTAAACAGCTTTTTTTTTTTTTTTTAAATATTCACGGAGACTGGTCCATCTCCATTTGCTTAGTATGATCTCTTTAAGGAAGCTGAAGTGCTATTAATGGTAATCTTTATTGCTGAACAAATACAACTGCACAGTTTTGTAAGGTGCAAACAAGGTCAGAATACCTGAGATAGTAATTCCTGTTATATATAATTTAAAAAGATTTACAGATGTATGGATTAGATAATTTGGTACCTGACTTTCTTTTTCTAGCAAGTATTGCAGATTAGATTTCTAATTAGCACATACTTCAATGAAGAAAAAATAGTCAATTGTGCATGAAACTGTCTGATAGAATGTTTACAAAAGGAAACAGAGCCTTTGATATAGGAGTTAAAATAGCTCTGTTTCAGTAAGAAACACTGTCTGGCTGTTTGTTACCTCACTTAGGTTTATTGGACAGATCAGGCGGTGTACAGAACCACAAATTTTGATGTCCCTTTTTTTTAAGTAATTCAACATGTTGACATTAAATACAAATTTAAGAAAGATTGTACATTGAGTATAATCTCTCAAAATTATAACACATATTATTCCACAATCTTGAAAGAAGGTGGAAAAAAGCCCCTTTAAATACAAGCATCTCTACACTATGAATTTACCTATCTGGTAGTTTGGTTGTCTGCATTTTGTTTGTGGAATTGAGCTAGATTACAGAGATGGAGAGCATGGAAACTTCAACTCAGTTGTGCTGTAATTCTTATTCCAGGCACAAACACCAGGGCTGCTGTGTTTCAGTAGTCAATCCCATGGAAATTTACCCCGAACTTTCCATATGTATCAACATAAATGGGACTAATATGCCAGTTAAACAGCCTGTATAAAACTTCCATGGAGCCTTTGGGTCCCTGCTTTATGGTACATTTCATCCTGAGAAAGCTGAACATGAAGTTCATAGTCAGCAGCTATGCCCCATAGGAGTAATCTTTCTGCCATCAAAAATAAAATTGATAATTAGAGCATCTTATAATATTTGAGTAATTACATACATATTAGAGAAAACAGAGGGAAATATATGGGACGTGTAGTGTAAACTCAGCTATGCTTTAATACAGGGAAAACTAGCGGTACAGCTGGAATCCTCTATAAAGTGAAGTATTACATCTTCAGGTTGTGTGTTCAGTGAATGAATTTACAAGGTCTGCAATATTACATCTGCGGTTCTTTCATCTAATTAATGTGCGATTAACCTCTGCTATTCCTGAGTATTAAGAGGCCTGTATACCTTAAATAATGGTGAGTGACACCTCTGCTTCTGTATGACAAGTACTTTGTAATTATTGGGTTTTAAAATTTGATTACTTTATTACTTTTGCAGAAGAAAATGCCAACAAAGAAAATTTATTTGAATAATTTTTGTAAATCCGCAGAATTTGTAAGCACATTGAAATTCTCTCTGCGTTGAGGGTTTTTTTGGTTAGTTTTTTTTTTTTTGTCTTTGCAAAAAAAAAAAGGAAGAAAAAAGGGTTGCTCATTAAAGAATCACATGCAAATGGTTAAATTTGGTTTTTGGATGTATGTGTTTATTGATGAAAACTGCCAGATGACTGGAATGAATAAGTGTTCCTTCTCCTGTATACTTCAGAGCTTGATTTAACTTTTACAAATACAGATTATTCTTTTTGTTTCCATTATTTAAGGGAAGGTTTTAGGTTTTCATCTCAAGAAGCTGCTTCAAGTTTTGGCGATGATCGCTTACTGATAGAAAAGTTCATTGATAACCCTCGTCACATAGAAATTCAGGTTTGTAGTGTATTATTTTTACTATTATTAGTTATTGTTTATTTATTTAAGAAGATCTGAAGTCATAAATTAATCAAAGTTCAAAACGTTTCAAACACTCAGCTAAAAAAGGCATATGGTCTTGTGTTTTCCTGTGTCTTGGGCCATTGCTCAAACTACATGGCTATCATGCACAATACAGCCTTCCTGTTTTTATTCCTTACCCTTTCTTTAGCAGGAAGACAATGAACTCTGCTCAGTTTGTTGGGGGAAAGAAAAAAGAAACCACAGTTGTAGGCATCTGTCTACAGATGTCTGTTAGTGGCTGGAGCTTGAACTCTGGATCCTGATTGCAGTGCTTGAGTGCAGCAGAGGATGTAGGAGTTCACGTGCTGCTGTGCTTAACATTTTTCTTCCAACCTCTGGGTGGTTTTGTCAGTATGTTGGAGTATGTTCTGAAGTATCTAATGTTACTAGGGAACTCAGGAGGATTTATGTCCTACTTTGGGCAGTTTGTGCTTCGAAATTGGCTGTGTTCTCCTTAAATTCTGGATTGTGACCATTTATATTTTTGATTGGGTCTAGTGTTAACCCAGATGTGCTAATGCAAAGCAAGACTTTTTGGACCAGACTCTTCAAGAAAAGTATGATTTTAAAATTTATGATGTGTTTGATCTTATGCAAGCAACTAAATCGGGTTTGTCCATGGCCTTGAAATAATCTTTCCTGAGTAGAAATCTATAGGGGGTATATCAGTTACCTCAACAGTTTTGCAGTGAGAGCCTGAAGTATTCTGACAGTAGCTCAGTAGCTGAATGAAACAGCAGTAAATTTGATTCACGTGGAATGATTTTTAAGAGAGAAATATTTAACATTTTTATTCCACCACATATGTGCCTACAGTCTGATATTTCCTGTATTTTTATTTATGTGCACAGGCTAACTTACTGCATATCATGGAATAGTTTGGGTTGTAAGGGACCTTTAAAGGTAATCTAGTCCATCCCACATCTTCAACTATATGGGACATCTTGGACTAGATCAGGTTGCTCAGAGTCCTCTCCAGCTTGGCCTTGAATGTTTCCAGGAATGGGTCATCTGTAACCTGCCTGGGCAACCTCTTCCAGTGTTTCAGCACTCCCATCATAAAGAATTCCTTCCTCATACCCAGTATAAATCTGTTCTCTTGTAGTTTAAAGCTATTATCCCTTATTCTATCACTACAAACCCTTGTAAAAAGTCTCTTCTCATCTTTCTTATAAGCTCCCTTTAAGTATTGAAAGGCTACAATAAGTTCTCCTCGGAGCCTTCTTTTCTTCAGGCTGATCAACCCCAACTCTCTCAGCCTGCCTTTGTAGGAGAGATGCTCCAGCACTCTGATCATCTCTGTGGCCCTCCTCTGGACCTGTTCCAAAAGGTCCATGCCTGTCTTGTACTGAGGACTCCAGAGGTGGGTGCGGTGCTGCAAGTGGGGTCTCACCAGGGCAGAGCAGAGGGGCAGAAATGAAGAAGCAGCAGAGAAATGAAGAAACAGTCTGTAAAAATGAAATTTCAACCCAAACCTATTCTCTTTTGAAGTGTAGTGGAAAGGTGTATAGTGGGCATTTAGTTTCAGCATTGATCTTAGGTTACAAAAGGGGTCAGATTTCTACAGCAGCTTCCTATATTCTTTTGTCATGGCTAATAATTTTTGATCTTTGTTACTTTTTTTTTTTTTGTACACAAATCAGTATACATTAAAGATACATTTCTTTCAGTCCTTGTAGATTTGGGAGCTTCAGCTGGTTCCTACCGACTCTTTGATGACTAAAGTTAGATAAGATTGATTCTTCCATACTTTCATGAGTTGTGGGCATATTTTGCAGTGTCTTTATTCCTTTAGATTTAAAAAGGGCTACCTCAAGAAAAAAAAAGGCAGTACTGTATTTAAAAACTGTTAAATAATTTTACCTAGATTAAACAAAATAGCTTTGCTATTAATAATTTATAGTTTTATTTATAATAAGTGTACAATGAGTGTTGTTTTCCTTACATGAACACTTTGATGGTACCTTTTAACAATATGATAGCATATCGTTTTAACTTCATGTTCTAATCAGCTTTAGGACGCTGGCTTTGGTTCATTTTCAAACTGCTGAATATACAAACAATTTGAGACCAGATGCCAAATATTTATTAATTTAGCAGTAACTTTTAAATAGAACTTTTTTTTTTAACATTCCCATATAGCTCCAAAGCATTGGTACCTAAAATTGTTAAATAAGGGGTTTCCTGTGTCTAGCTATAAAACAATCACTTTGTAAAACATGAGAAAAGATGAAAACAATTAACAGGAAAATAGAGTTCAAATAGACTTTATGCTTGAACTGATTTGAAGTCTTGTTCTCCTGAAATATCTGATATAAAGGACCAGAGTTTAAAGTAAGAGTACATGGAATGTCTAACTATTACTTGGCTAAATATCAGTTTTACAACTGGAAATAGAATTTAGTTGAATCATGTAAGATAGGTTGTGATATGTTATATTTAATTAGTTTGGCATATATATGTACATAACATATACTAATGTAATAATCATATAATCCCATAAATCAGGAAGTTGTCTTTTGCAAGTATGTAGATATTAAGAAAAGAACTGCAGCTGTGACGTGCATTTTTAGTGAAATGTGTACTGGAATCTCATGTCATATCAGAGGAGATGATTTCAACATTCTGTAAATGTTTTCTGAAATTTAACTGTTTTATGAAGAAAGTATCTTTTTTAATTTCTGATAATGAAAGCAGTGGACCCAAAATGAAAGCAAAAGCCTAACACTAGATATTGTTTGGCTTATTCTGTTTATAATTGCATTTAAATAGTGACTGTTCATTCATGTCTCTTTTTGAGCTGTACTAACTGATAATGGGAAAACATTTATTTTAAGGTCCAGATGGCAGATATTAAATTGGATATAAGAAATGTCCTGAAGTCAAAGAAAATATTTACTAGTTGGCTTGAAAAATATTTTATTATCCCCTTCAGGAATATACACAGAAAGAGAAGCACAGGAACTCTTTTTTTAATTGAAATATTCCAGGACTTTTTGTTTTGTTTGTTTTTATGAGGCTGGATTCTGTGGGAAGTTGTAGTCTTTCTAACAATGAAACAGAAATGCTCACAAGGAATCATCCTACTTACAGGACAGCTATTTTCTCAGTGAGTAGGATGCTGTGCCCTGAAAGTACTGTTCCAGTATTTAAAAAAAAAAACAACAAAAACAAACAAACAAAAAAAGAAAAAAAACAGTTAAAAGATCTTCGGTCTTCCCGAATGAGTTTCTATAGAGTTGGCTGCAGTACCCTGCTGCTGCTGGTGCTGCTAAGCTTCCCTCTGGGCAGAAAAGAGGGTTCTGGGACACACTGTAGTTCAGGAAATATTGAAGTCCTTGATCTTGTAGAACTCTTTAGAGAGGATTTTTTTTTCCTTAGAAAGCTCTATAAATTTGTGGGACCACAACAGGGTGTGGAGCACTCTGGATCCGATGCGATGCTGCACAGCGCCTTGTTTTCAGTCACATCTACCCAGATTATTCATGCATCAGCAAACATTGGTATCATAGATGCAGGAGTTCATCTTGCTTAGTGCTATACTCACTCTGTGGTGAAAGAAATAATAAATAATACAGATTCATTGTCACAAATGTGAGTAGAATTCACACACTTTGAGGTTGAATTCACACAGTTTGAGGAAGATTGTCTCCTTTTTTTTACCTTGTCAGTTTTCAGTGTAGAACTGCACTATTAAAGAATGAAGCATGAATATTGGCAAAGGTTCCCGCAGATCAGACCAGGAAGATAGAATCATAGAATAGTTAGGGTTGGAAAGGACCTTAAGATCATCAGGTTCCAACCCCGCTGCTGTGGGCAGGGACACCTCACGCTAAACCATGTCACCCAAGGCTTCGTCCAACCTGGTCTTCAACACTGCCAGGGATGGAGCATTCACAACATCCCTGGGGAACCCATTCCAGTGCCTCACCACGCTAACAGGAAAGAACTTCCTCCTTATATCCAATCTAAACTTCCCCTGTTTAAGTTTGAACCCATTACCCCTTGTCCTATCACTACAGTCCCTAATGAAGAGTCCCTCCCCAGCATCCCTATAGGCCCCCTTCAGATACTGGAAGGCTGCTATGAGGTCTCCACGCAGCCTTCTCTTCTCCAGGCTGAACAGCCCCAACTTCCTCAGCCTGTCTTCATACAGGAGGTGCTCCAGTGCCCTGATCATCCTCGTGGCCCTTCTCTGGACTTGTTCCAACAGTTCCATGTCCTTTTTATGTTGAGGACACCAGAACTGCACACAATACTCCAGGTGAGGTCTCACAAGAGCAGAGTAGAGATGGCAAAAAATGGATTAGAGAGAAAAAAGGAAGAAAGAGAGCCAGTGTGATCTGCAACGAGAGAAATTTTTCCAAGAATTATTGTGGAGTATAAAATCATAAGAAAGGAAGAAGTCTTGAATCCTCAAATCTGGTCTCCAGATATTGGGAATGGCTGCATGGTACAGTCAATTTCATAACGGGATGGTGTACCTTTTCTTACTTTCCCTTCCAGTTTGAAGTTGCAGTGTCTATTGAGAGTTCTATTTTGTTTTTCTTTTTTCTTTTTTCTAATGTGTATTTTAGGTAGCTGGATCTAGCTACTTGTGTGTATGTTTAACTCTTCCATGAACTGAAACTGTGGACAGGAACTGTTGCTAAAACCTGATTCTTTGAAACTACTGCTTTAATTTACACTGCAAGTACTGAGAAGTAGCAAGTCTTACTCTCTTTAATAAAAGATTGCAAAGTTTCTGAAGATCTTTTTCTTCTTTCCCTGTCTTTAGACAGGGTGCTGTGGTTTGCCTACTAAGAAAGCTCCATTAGCCATTTTTCTGAAAACTTTTGTGTGTAATTCAGGAGCAAAATTTGGCATTTTTGAGATTTTTCTCTCTTTCGTTGACAAAAGATATTGCTTCTGAGTGATTTCATTATGCAATACAATTTTATATTCTTGAAAATGTTGTTTTAATTTTATTTCAGTCTTCTGATTTCTGAACTTTTGGGAGCTTCTTAAAAATTTTGCAGTGAGTGTTGTTTTGCAATTTATAAACTCTATATATAGGCCTTAAAATAATCCTATTCAGAATTTGAAGGAGCATTCGATTAGTATTCCATATACAATTCATTTTATACACTAGCGGTTTCCCCAACCTTTATTTCTAGATTTGAAAAAGGTATTTTTAAATTAAACTAACTGAATGTTAGATAATAGTGTTCTGTCAAAATATACATAGCATCTGTCTTGTTAATAGTATGTTACTGTTTCAGGTTTTGGCAGATAAACATGGTAATACCTTGTGGTTGAATGAAAGGGAGTGCTCCATTCAAAGGAGAAACCAAAAAGTTGTGGAGGAAGCACCAAGGTAAGGATACTAGACTCTTGATGCAGCTTTATAGTTACTGAAAGCACTTTAGGAAAGCTGCTTGTACAAATGGAAGCAAATTTTATTCTATTAAAAACCACAAAGAAAATAAATAAATGTTTAAGCTATATTCATTTGTCATAATGCAATTTGAATGTTGTTTTTCATGACCTTGTATAATATGGATATGTATTTTAACACTCAAATACATGTGGTATATGAGATAGCTTCCTTAATATGTCTGAGTTAATTTTCCTTTGCCACTCAGCTTTTAGATTTAAGAGTAAAATAAAATATGGAAACAGTATTCATTTTATCACAGATACAGATATTTGTGTTATAAGCATTGTGAGAGGGCCACATAATACTTTTAATTTCTGTTTGAAATGAAGCTTGAAGTATTATATTCTCTGTGCCACTTTTAGTGCCACTGATGGTAGTAAACTATAGATATAGTAAGCTATAGAAACAGTAACTCAAAAGTACTAAATAATCTTAATCCCACTGATTTCAAATAGAGCTGAGATACACTGCCGTTGTGCAAGGTATGGTCTTGCTGTGTTTTCTGTTGCATAGCATTCATCAGAGAATTTGTGTAATAAAAAAGGCATAAGGAAGTTCTGATTTTAGAAAACCATACATAGGTATATCACTGCCTGTGGGAATTCCCAGTGTAATGTGTTCACCAGCTGGGATGATTTTACCATTATTTTATAGCGCAGAACTATGTGATGCAATAATTCAGGATGTGAGGAAAAGCGCATCATTCAAATGATGTTTATTTACAGGCAGCATATAAATGAATGTTGAATTGTAGTTGTGGCACTGGCACTGTTTAGGACCTAGATTTTAAGTTACAAAACAAACGTTAAATCTAATTATACAAACCCACTAATAAATACTCAAATAGCTCTTGTTACTTCCTGGTAGTGATTGTGGGTTTCTCGGAAGCCTTATGCCTAAAGATCTTACTATGTTTTTGTTTGTGAAATGTGAATTCTTCAGGTCCTGAAACAATGTGCATGTGCATATACATATACCTAAGCACTTAGAAGACTTTTTTGCCTCAGGACTATGTGTAAAGTGCTGCCCACAACTACTGCCTGCTCATTCTCTATGCATGTGGTCAACTAAAGGGAGAGTGATGTGTCTTTCTCTTGCCAGGCAGCTGTGATCAGTGTTTTCTTTCCTCAGAAATATCAGCCTTTTAACTTTCTTGGGCTTCTATATTGGAGTTGTCAGTAAGTTTCCTCATCCCTTCCCATAACTCACATGAAAGAGTGTTCACAAGTCAATAGCTTCCAAAATTTGGCATGAAAACTCTTTCTTTCTTGTTGAATGCTTTAGACTCTGCCAGACTTTTATTGACAGCTTTGGAAGCCTTATCTGCCTTACAGCCACTTGCAGTTGGCTGCAGAATCCATTTATTTACAAAGGGTTACATGATAGTTGCAGATAAGCAGGGTACTGACTTCTGTGAGACATCGTAGAAACCCTAAAGCCTGAAGTTAGCCATTCCTGTGAGTGATGTTTCAGTTAGTGTCATTGATTAATGACTCCTGGAAACACCTTTTCTTATATGGCTGGGTGAAGGAAATACACTCTCTTTTTTTTTTTTTTCCTGTTTTAAATGGTAGCTGCCATTAAAAGTTCTGAGAGGTTGAAGCTGTTTGGGTTTTTGGTGTTTTTTTTTTCTTTTTTTTTTTTTTTCTTCTTTTTCTTTTTAATACCTTTCAGAGGAGATTTAGGTTGGAGATAATGAAGAAATTCTTTACTGTGAGTGTGATGAGGCACTGGAACAGGCTGCTCTGAGAAGTCGTGGCTGTCCCATCCTTGGAAGTGTTCAAATGTTCAAGGGGGTTGGAACTAGCTGATCTTAAGGTCCTTTCCAACCCTAACCATTCTGTGAAGCCCAGGAGATAGGAATACTATAGGGTAAAATGTTTGTTTGTCTTTTATACAATCTAAGGCTTTTGGCTTTGGCCTCTTCTTGAGCTTCTTTTGATTTACTTTTTTGCTATCGTGGTATTTTCCTAAGTGTCTAGTTTGAGAGATTGATTTTTGAGGGCCTTTTGGCTTTGAGAATAATCTCTATTATTTTCTGAAAGCTAAGTCTGCAACTGTTGAAATTACAGGATTACTTCATGTTTGAATCTCAGCAGTTGTTCTACTCTCTCTGTTCTTGGAATCACAGACAATAAGAAATGTCTGATCATCACCAGTACTTTAGTTAGTCCAGGGCAAAAGTTAGTGCTATGCAAAAATTCCAGAGATTTACAGTAATTTTCTTTGCTTCTAGCTTCACACCTCTTTGGAAGATGCTGTTGGCTTCTCATTTCACCACAGAGGCTGAAAGTTGCATAGAGAAGCTGTGGCTGACCCATCCCTGGAAGTGTTCAAGGCCAGGTTGGATGGGACTTTGAATAACCTAGTCTAGTGGAAGGTGTTGAAACTAGGGGTTGGAACTAGATGATCTTTAAGGTCCCTTCCAACGCAAAACCATTCTATGATTCTATGATTTTCTGTCAGTCTGTCTAGAAATCCTTGAAGGATTTGGGGTTAAGAGAAACAGCAAGCTTGTTCTGTTTGTGACTGTGTATGTGATTCATAGGTGGCCAGTTTAGACTTAGGGTCAAAACTGTGTTCTCAAATACTTTAACATATTTTTACTTGTATTGTTGTAGTAATTAATAGGTATCTCGAAGGAGAATGTTTTTTGTAGATAAGTAATTTTTTTGAATAAACAATATACCTAACTATTTCTTGAGAGCAGATAGGCTGACCTTGACGTTTAGAAACTGAAAGTACTGTTCTCTGCCAGTATAGTGGTATCTTCAGAGGAAGTGTAGATGTTACTGAATTTTATTGTATTTTTTTTAACCTGGGCAGTAAATTTCCACTGACAGTGGAACTGTACTTTTCAAATTCTCAACCTTATCTGTAAGTGAAGGTGATGGAAGTACTTTGTGAAACATTATCTGATGGGTAGAAGTGGGGAGGTAACATTTCGCCCATTTGGTTCATCTCTGGCTGTAGAAACAATGGCACAAACCAATTGTATTGTCTTTGATCAAATTTGCAATAGCTTGATGAATATCTTATGAGTTAAGTGTCAGCTGTGATCTTATATTTTCTCTTCGGTGCTTTTATCTTGTGAATCTTTTTTATTTCGTAGCCTTCATGCTGCCACGGGAGCTATTTGGTTGGAAGAAAAACAGGTGTATATGTGAGAAAAAGATTGGAAATCAGGTTTAAAATGCTGTGTTTTCACAAGTGATGCCTAATGAGATTGGACAAGAGTTATTTCAGTTGTAAAAGATGCATTGTTAGAGGAGGGAGAAACAATGTATATGAAAGATAAAGTGGTGGAGGGGAATAAGAAAGCTTTGATTAATTAACCTAGATGATTGCAGGGATGATCCAGTCATTTTAGAACATAAAGCTTAACCACGTGGCAGAGATCAAGTTTAGCAGTGTGACACCTCTGTTCCATTCTTTGGCTACAGCAGGAGGTGAACAGAGAGATTTCAGACCTACATTTAACAAACATAGTGAGGACACCACTGTAATAAAGGGGAGTAACTGTCTTTCATCTCTATAAGAAGTAATGATGGTTATTCTAGAAATAGAACATGAAGCCGATACTGAAAAGCTTCTGTTCTTCATAAGCCACTCATTGACCTTTCATGATCAAAGCCTTGCAGAAACCCCAGATTGAATTATAGATTGTTGATTTTGTGTAATGTATTATCCTCTTATTGAATCAAAATAAGAAATATGAAACTCTTTTACATTACCAGTGCCTACTTTTGGCAGGTGCGACATAGTTTTGCATGTCTTCTGTTTTTCCCTTCAATCTGGTGTAGGATCTGGGAGCTTTCTTTGGATCAGACTTGACTTTGTTTTCCTGTTGATCCAGCCTGCCCTGCTGTCTGTCAGAATCTGCCTGTGTCAGCACTGGAAGGATGGAGGTGCAAAGTAGCACTTTTGCGATGAAGAAAAGAATTCTATCCTAGTTTGCCTAGATATTTCCTCACTTTTTGTGTCATGTCAAATATGGTTTGTTGTGGCAGCAGTCTCTTAGCTCTTCTGTGAGTTCAGGTCTCAGTGAAAACCACCATAGCAAGTACTGAAAGATAAGTCCTGACCCAGGACTGGCTTCTATGTGAGTGTAGTCCTGGGCCCCAGGTGGAGCTTCATTGACTTTGATGTCACATTGACCTACACTTCAGGTCGGTGGAGGCTGCTGATTGCTGCTTTGCAGAATTAGGACCCACTTTTAAAGACACCTCAAGAAATAGGTAACATTTGTTATTTTAGTTTTAAACCATAACATAGAGACAGGGCAGAATTGATTCCTATTCCCTTACAAAAGTACTTTTAAAATGATAACTGAGTTATATGCCAAATGTGCATCACCACTGAAATATAATAAGCGTATTTATGAGCTTATGTAAGATGAACTACATGTTGTCTTTCATTGAAGGTCAGTGTATCAGGGTGAGGAGCAACAAGTTTCACAGCTTTGATGGAAAGCCACAGAAATTTCTCTAGCTCTAAATTAACAATCTGCATAGGTTAATTTGAATTTATAGGACAGAGGAGACCAACCTGAGTCTTTTGATTCACTGGACCAGTGGAAGGGGCATGTTGCACTTCTAGAATAAGAAGATCTGGTATTTGGGTGGTGCTCACAGGGGCCTCTGAGGTGGTAGCCGAGCTGCATTTTGGGTGCTTTTGAGTGTGTCCAGGATGTGTGGAATGGAGTGAATTGCAGTTAACAAACATGGATAACTGCTCTTCAGGTTATGGGTAAAGCTGAGAGAAGAAATGCAGGATATTAAGGTTTAAGTCATGACGGTGTTGATAGTGTTTTAGTTAAATATTATGGATGCCCAAATTTTTTTCATTGCAATCTCACATAAGAAGCCTGAATAAATACTTCATTATTTTCTAAAACTTCTTTATTGCTTAAAATATCAGTAAATGTCCATGGTGTTTTAATTCAGTCAGAAAACAAATTCCCCTTAGACCTCCTGTCTTGTATTTTGGCACTCATATTTCCATTGGTTGGATTTTTTAGTTACAGGGTTGTATGTTTTTTTTTTTTCCAAAAATATATGCTTTCTAAAGTATCATGAATTTTTATGTATTTTTTTTTCATTTAACTTGCATTATTATAAATCTCAGTGTTCCAAAAAAGTTGTGTTATATTTTAGAGAATACTGTTATTTGCCCTGAATTTCCTGTACATTGCAAAGCATGCAGTATAGCTATTTAGTAGTAATATAAATGTAAAGGCATCCATTTGACAGTTTTGACATGTTCCTAACTTTAATAATGATGCTGGCCTCTTTTGATGGTAGTTTAAGCAGAAGATTAAATGATTTAATTATTTTTTTTTAACTAAAAAAAGGCATTCTTTCTGTATCATAGCACTTTCCTAGACCCTGAAACTCGAAGAGCAATGGGAGAGCAAGCAGTAGCTCTTGCCAAAGCAGTAAAATATTCCTCTGCTGGAACAGTAGAATTCCTTGTGGACTCCAGTAAGAATTTCTACTTCTTGGAAATGAATACTAGACTTCAGGTAAGAAAAACAGCTCTTCAGATTCAGAAAAGTGTTATTTTAAAAAACAGAACATAACCTCCTTCCATAGTTAGGGGTCTGCTCCTGCAAAGACTTAAACGTAACTAACTTGACGCATGTGAGTACTTCCCACTGAACTTAAAAGATCTACTCACTTAAATAAGCCTGCATATACAAGACTTTGCAGCAGTGAGCCCTTGCACAGCACTCAAGTAAGCATTCAGAGCTTTTCCTCTTTGTTACCCTTGACCTAAAGACCTTGCAAGAGGTCACTGTTAAGTGCCACTGTGAGTTCACAGTAAGTGGCTAGCCCCTGTGCTCTGATGCTTTTCCCCACTGGTCCCTGAAGTTTCTTTTTTATTTTTTATACTTTGATGGTTGCTTGCTGAGTTTCTCTAGGAGGGTGATTAAAACTATATGTGTGCATCAGCAATAAACTCCACCAGCAATCTGCATATGATTGAAGCTATGACTGGAATGCATCTGTGTAAAAAGCATGCTGACGTGGTGTAGGATTTTTGTAACAGCGTGTGAAGTCAGTACTAGATGTTATAATGTACACTGCCAATGAATGGATAAGCAGTGTTTTATGGAAAAAACCCTCTACCTCTTATTTGACTGTTATAATGAATTTCTGGTCATAATCTAAGAAAACGGGCATATAACTTGAAGTCTGGTTATCATTCTCAAAGACAGGAAGACAGTTCTTCTTGTAAGCACGTAAATTCGATTGTCCTTATTCTCCTTTGCTCATTTCATTAAATAATGACAGAAATGTGGAATCAAGCACCAAAGTGAATAGCTGCTTATTCTGTTCTGGCTGCATTTTCTTTGGGACGTATTCTGCCTGCTGCTTTTACATGTGGGCAGGGATAGAGCATAAAGAGATCCTCTGACATCTTTGTATGACTTTGTATAATGGCTGGGTAAATTTATGCTTTGGGTAAAGAAGTGAGAGAAGATTTGGGGGTGTTGCAGTCCTCCCCTGTGCTAGGGGAGGACTGCTGGTAAAATTTGCCTTGCCTTGCCAGGCAGCATTGTTTTTGGAATTACTCATGACAGTTATATTTCACATGCTTTTGCTAGAAGTTTCCTAAGTACAATCTGCTCTACCTGAGATTCAGTTAGAAGGTTCTGGTTAATGGCAATGTATAGTTCATTAAAATGTGATGAAGAATTTCTGTCTCTTTGGTCATAATTTACACTTTTCTCAATCTTGTTTTTGAGAGAATGCTTCTTAATGCCTCTCCATGTTATTGCTCGCATAGAAGAAAATGAACGTGTGATTTTGTGCATAGCCCTCTGGAAGTTCAGAAACATTTCCTTGCTATCCTTGTAGTATATTATTGTCCATCAATTCCTAAATATAATTAGGGATGAAGTATCCATGAAGTCCTTTCTGTAATTTGTTTTCAAGATGTTATCTTTGCTGTTTTGTGGTGTCTTCCCCCTGCAGTGCCTAGTGGTATGTGTTCAAAGTCCCAGACAATAAACTTGCTTGATTGTAGAGGTCTCCACATATGCAGTAAGAAAGCTTTCACAATTCCATCTTTAAGGACTTTAAAGACTCCTTTTGAAAGATAGCCTAAGCCTAAGTTTGACAGTTCCCTGTAACAGCAGACTCATTCTTTGCAACCCTCAAAGAAATTTACTAATCTTAAATTACAGTACTTGTGCAGATATTCTCTAATTCCTCTATCCTGACCGTGTATTGTCTCTAATTAGCATTTCAGTTTGAGGCTGGAGAGTAGTAATTTTCTCTGATTCTTCCCCAGGTTTACACGATCGATCTGTCACTTCTCCCAGGTCTCAAGCTTTACTTTCTCTTCAGCTAACAGTTATACAACTAACATCTCATACTAACTCCCTTCCATTAAGAGCCAAACATAGAAACTGTAATGAGGCTCATCAAGGTTTAACTTCAGAACCAGGAGAGTCTACAGATGTCCCTGTATTGCTTCAGCCTTTTTTAACTTTTGCATTTCCTAACTCTGAACAGTGGCTAGCAGGCTCCCTTGCCCTGTTTTTGCTGAACACTCCACAGTTGGAAGAACTTACCCAAATGATGGGTACCTGGTCCATAAATAATGCTACTAAGGTCTTTTTCAGTGTGCATTACAGACAGAGCTACTGTCAGCATCATCAGAACATGTCTACTATATTATGCAATTTCCCATGTGTGTTTCAATGTTTCAGCAATCTCTAATCAGATCACTGTAGCCTTTTTACTTCAGAATACGCTTGTGTAAAGGGAACTAAACTGTACCCAGTACATTTCACTGCCTGCTGATTTCTTCGTCCCTCCCTTTGGTCTATCTGTCAGATATCTTCCAGTGTTTTTGGTAACTAATTTTGCAGTAATTGAGACTTGTATTATTACTTGGCTGTCTTTTTAGGGAACTCTTTGGGAATATACCTTTTCTGCTGTATAGTCCTGCAAAGAAGTATAAATTGCACCTTACAGGAAGTTCATATTTTATTTAATTTTTGTGTTAAGTGTTGCTGCAATTCAGTGTGAGATTGGAAAGCAAAAAAAGGTTGTTGAATCAACTCCATTGTGTCTCTTGTATGCTACACAAATCTGTTTCAGATGTTTCACTCTCTCAAGTGATTCAGCTAGAATGATTTATTCTTTGCTGTTGGCAATGTTCTTTTTGTTCTATCTGCTTTTCTGACATTTTTCAGAGGCTAGCTGATAAGTATGAGACACAAGATCGGATAATTGCATAGAAAAACTAGTTATTCTTACTTTCCACAGGAAAATGTAGAGATATATGCCCTAGCAGCTACAAGAGAATTTCTGTATGTTGTCATTTAGGGCACTTTTGGTTTTCAGGCAGCTACTACTATTCAGATCGCTGAGGCAGACCACATGTTGAATTTCTAATTCTTTATAGCTGCTGTGGTGTGCTTTGTGTTACCTAGTTGTCATTAGCTGTTTCAAGGGCATAGTCCAAAATAGCCAAATAAGAGCTTTGACATAAAAATGTCTGAATGTTTAGACTGATAGCCTTTCTAACTTTCAAATTGTGTCAACATCTCCTTATCAGGCTGCCGTCAGAAGTGCTGGCTTTCGCTAGGAAAGTGTCTTCTGCTTTTCACTGGAAGATGAGAAATACTTCTCTTTGACTTGATAGAAAGAGAGTCTACCTCCTGTAAATAAAGAATATCTGTTAATGTATGGGTGTGTGGTGTGGCTAAGCTCAGTGCATATGAATCAGTTAGTAACAGCAAAGGGTAAATATCACATACTCTGGAATCCTGTAGTATCTGTAGATGAGAAGCATCCGTCATTGGCTTGAGAAGAACTGAAGTACAAGGAGCAGTGTGAGGAGAGCACTCACCTTGAATGCAGTTTGTACATTTGTGTTTCAGGTCTGTTCCCAACCTTGTGTCTCCCCCATGGGTTGTGCAAATTAAGTGACAAGTGAACACTCCCTCTTCAAAACATGACCAAATTTGCTTAGAGTGATCCTATTGAAAACATCATTTGTATAGAGTGTATTCAGCACAGTGGAGTTGAGAAATACGGTAATTTGAGTAGCAGCGTGTTTTCTCCCATGTGACAGTTTGAATGTTTTTGTCATAACTTTTTAGAGAATAAAAGTTAATTTTGTGGAATATTTTGTCAACCTGTAAAAGATTTATTGAAAGCAAGTGGCATATCTGTATGTTTTTATTTTACAGTTGTAGTGAGAGAATTTATTTTATAGAAATGTTTTCAAGTTCTTTTAAAGTAACTTGATTCTAAGGCATAAGGCAAACGTAAATAAACTTCCATACGCCCATAAAACATTGCTCAGTGTTAAGATATGTTGTTCACCACTTTCAATGTTTTCATCAGATTTTACTGACCCCTGGAAAATGATATATTCCAGAGCTTTGTCTTTGTGCAGAACTGGAAGTGTAAAAGACAGAGGGAGAATTATTACGTGCAATATATCTCTTTCTACCTTCCTTTTCGTCTGTTTGTCCACTCATGAAAGTAATAAAGAGCATGGTTGGGAAATGTCTAGGAATATGTAGAAATCCAGCTGGTGATTGTCTGGAGCTTCACTACTTATAAACTCCTGGTTCTAACAGTTTCATAATGGTATCTATATTCTGTTGCACATCATTAGGCAGCACCTGCTACATGTTTGCTCAGTGAAGGAGATAAGTGCTGGAAAATTCTGCAGCTGCACTATATAAACAGCACTGGCAAAATACAAATAGCAAAGTGATGAGCTGAGTCTGGATTGCCGTCTAAAACCACAGAGAGGTGCTGACTTTGGTATCCATAGCAAACCCATGGGACAGCAAGAGGTAGTTTTGCTGTCTGGGTGTGTGTAGCTGCCTAGAGGATGAATTGTGGTAGGTGAGCTTGAGTGTGGGAGCAGTGAAAGGGGCTGTCAGGAGGCAGAGGACCAGATTTCTGCTGAGTCTGAATGGAGAGATTTCAAAGTAAAGTCTCAAGTGACTGTTTCTGCTGTTTGCTGAGACTCTTCATATTTCTTAATACTGGAATTGTGTTTTACTGTGACACTTTGCTTCAGTCATTTTAAGTAGGCTAACAAACAGTGTCAGATGGTAAAGACTTTCAATTGCCGCTAACCTGGGCTGAATTTGAACTACTGACCTAAAGGTGAAAGGTCTCTTATCCCATTACCAATCCCCTAAGCCCACCAGAATCCATTCTGCACACAGTTTATACCAGCTGTTCATGGCCATTTTTAGAACCGAAAGAAAAGGTGATTTTGCTGCCAAACAACACTTCTTCACACAAGAGGGTCAGCCGACAACAGTTAACCAGATTTTTGCCACATTCTTGCCTCCTAATGCAACTTCCATTATGTAGCTACTGGTTGTCTGCTTTTCAGGCTTCCCAAAAGAACTACAGAAAAGCATTGCTAATTGTTGTTGACAGAAGAGAACAACATTGTTTGTGTAAGTCATTGAATCTGAAAGATGCCATTAACAGTGCTGCCAGGGCATAGAGCGATATCTTGGAGACGATGTTA